ACACAATTAAAGACTAATTTCCTCTTTCTACATCTCTTTCCCCTCAGTTCCAACTCCTTTTCCACCTGGAAACCAAAAACTCTTTGGCTATTAAATCTCTGCCCCTTTTAAAACAGGAAAGGCTCTGATCTCAATGATTTAGGATTAAATACATATTCACTGCAGAGTTGGAAAATACAAATAAACGAAAGGAGTAATTAAAAATCACTCAAACTCCACTTGCCAGAGATTACCGTCATTAACATTTTCGTGGGGGCAGGGCACCTGGCTGGCTCAACCAGAAAAGCATGTGGCTCTTGATCTGGGGGTCATGAGTTCAAGTCCCACGTTGGGTGTAGAGATTACTTAAATACATTAACTTAAAAAACAAAACAAGGGGCGCCTGGGTGGCTCAGTTGGTTAAGCAACCGCCTTTGGCTCAGGTCATGATCCTGGGGTCCTGGGATCGAGCCCCACATCGGGCTCCCTGCTCAGCGGGGAGTCTGCTTCTCCCTCTGCCTCTACCTGCCACTCCCCCTGCTTGTACTCTCTCTCTCTTTCTCTCTCTGTGTCAAATAAATAAATAAAATCTTTAAAACAAACAAACAAACAAAACAAAACATTTTGGTGGATTTTTTTCAGACATTTTTCTCTGAGGTTTTACATATATATCTAACCTACTTTTTCACTTATAGTATATCTTATCGTTCCACGTCAATAAATCTTATATAGCATGTATGATTAAATTATTTATTTATTTATTTTTAAGTTTGCCCTTTCAACAGAACAGAGGAGAATAACTGGAACAGGGAGAAACTCGAGACAAAGAACCAGAAAGGAGAATTTTGCAATGCTCTGAGTAAGACTTTATGGAGGCTGAAGTTTAGCCAGTGACAAAGGGAGAGGAGAAGACTGATTTAGGATAAAGAATCAATAGGCTTGTTGATGGCTTGGGGAGTAAAGAGAGAGGAGTCAGGAATGATGCCCAGGATTCTTCCTTGGGGGCCTGGGCCTAGGGAAAGCAGAGTTAGGCATTAGGGGTGAGCAGAATATAAAATAGTGAGTTCAGTTCTGGACACTTAAGTCAGGATTTTTCTGACTACCATAACAGAACACCCAACTGACATGGGCTTAAATAAAGAGAAGTTTATTTTCCCTTCAAAACAGAAGGTCTGGAGACAGGTGATTCCAGGGTTGATGCAGGGGCCCAACAGTGGCATGAAGGGCCGAGGCTCTTGCAGTATTTCTGCTCCAACACCGTATAACAGTCATATATTAAGGTGGCTACATCATTCAATATACTACCATCTCCCGAGCATAAGACTGTCCTGTGAGAGGCTATCAGAAGTCTGACTTGGCTTTCAAATCATGATTCATCCCTAGGCTGGTAGGGTTCTGTTGTCAAGGAAGAATGGAGGGTGCCTGCTGGGTAGGTATCCAGCAGGGTCTGCCCCAGCTTTGTGAACTTTGTGATCTCTAAGACACCCAAAAGGAGCTACCAATATGCTGTCTGAAGCCTTGCCCAGAGAACTGCAGCTGAGCCGTAGAGCCGGAGAGGAAGTCATGGAGTTGTGGACATGGGTGCAACTGCCTAAGAAGAATGTGATGAGGACAGAGGCAAGCCTGAGGGGCAACACTAAAGGGGGCAGGGCAGAAAAATGAACCCAAGCACGAGCCTAGGGAAAAAAAAAAAAAGAGTGTATAATGCAAGGAAGAAAGAAAACCAGGAGAGACTATTATCATGGGAACGCACAGAAGGAGAGTTGCTTTTTTTTTTTTTTTTTTAGCTTTTTGAGGAAAAGGAAGCTATTAACAGTGTCAGATGCTGCAGAGAGACCAAGTAAGTGAACAGTGTACTCTGGATGTGGCAATTAGAGTTACTGGTACTTTGGCAAGAGTAACTTGATAAGAGCAGAGGCTAGATCACAGAGGAATGAGGAGTGACCAGAGAAGAGGAAACCAGAAATGGCTAGTCTAGGCTTCTGTCTATAAAAAAAAAAATACAGAATAGTCACTGGAAAGGGAATCACTGTG